GCTCTGTCTGCCTGGGCTGTCCAGGCATTCACCCCAAGGTTCCTGGCAGAGGGGGGCATCTGTGATCAGAAGTAGGGGGCCAGGCCGGGCAGGGAGGAGGCCTTCTCCCACGATTGCCTCCATTTGCTCATGCTCATGGACTCCTCCTGGTTGCCCCGACTGAGGTGGACTGGAAACCACCAGGGGCAGGGGTGGGGGGAACCCTTGCCCTCCTCCCTCCTTCCCTGCAGGGCACTTCCTCCAGCGGCTTCCTCTGAAGACACCAGCGCTTCTGTCTCTCCTAGGGGCTACCAGGGGCTCACAAACCGCATAATGGCCTCCTTGCCCGAGGACGTGGTAGTTTTTAACAAGCCTGTAAAGACCATTCACTGGAATGGGTCCTTCCGGGAAGCCTCTTCTCCTGGGGAGACGTGTCCGGTGTTGGTGGAGTGTGAGGACGGAGGCTGCTTCCCTGCACATCATGTCATTGTCACTGTGCCCTTAGGTAAAGCTGCTTTTCCCCACGGGTTTCCCTCCGGTCACCCATCCCAGGTGCCCTGGCCTCTGGCTCTCTCCCACCTCAGCTGGCTCTGTGGTGTTTGTTCGGCTGCTAATCTCGTATTTTCATTGTAGTCCTGGACAGGATTATTCTAATGTGTTTTGTAGCAACTGCATGCTTTGGAATTGAGTTTCACAGTAAGAGAAAGCCCACGTGTTGCTTCTTCAGAGGTCATTTATGGACAGGTTGGGACTGCCTCCAGGGGTTCCCCAAACCCTGCTTTCTTGGACATGGCAAAGGGTGTGACAGCCAGGTCTCAGGTTCAGTCCTTGTATGATTGAAAAAGGAGTCAAGTATAGGGTTCCGTTTAATTCTAGATCTGATGCCCTAGACAGAAGCCATTGGTGGGAGTTGGAAATTTGACAAAGGATGGGAGTGGCTGGGAGCCACGCTGTGTCTGTGCTATCTCACTTACTCCCCACACTTAGTTGTCCAAGTTCACCAGCCTAGCAAAGCCAGAGCTGCTGTAAGATGAAGAGTCCCCCCAGCCCGGTGGCTACAGCCTGCGCCCTGGGGTACCTTCAGGACGCAGCTTGCTGAACACCTAGTCCTTTCTCCCACATGTGGAATCGTACTGGACATATTAGCATAGTCTTCGGCTGCTCCTCTCTTGCCAACCCTGTCTTTTTGGTTAATACAACTTGTGTCAGTGTTTCCAACTCAGCACATATAGATCCGTGACATGGGTTTTTCCCCCCACCAATGTCTGTGTTCATTCACTGCTGTGGTGTGTGCTAACTGAGCCTCTGCTATAATCAGCAGGTGCATTACTGTGAATGTTGATATTGTTCACAAGGAGCCAGGACACCTGTCACGTAGCCACATAGTTATAGCCACATAGTTATTTCTTATTTGAAGATGTCATTACTCAATATTACTTAAAACCGGTGGAAGTTTAGGTTATTTTCACTTTTTCTGTTTTATGTAACGTTTCCCACGTGCATTTAAAAACACTTGTGTGGGACACCTGGGTGGTTCAGTCGGTTGAGCATCCAACTCCTGATTTCAGCTCAGGTCATGATCCCAGGGTCGTAAGATGGACCCCTGTGTCGGGCTCTGTGCTGAGTGTGGAGGCTGCTTGAGTCTCTCTCTCTCTCTCTCTCTCTCTCTCTCTCTCTCTCCCCCTCCCCCTCTTTCTCTCCCTCTCCCTCCCTCCTCTCTCCATCCCTCCCTCTGTCCCACTCCCCTATGCACGCACACACACACTCCCTCTCTCTCAAATAAAATTCAAAACCCCCAAAACCAAAACAAACAAAACACATGTGTGAACGTATCTGTGGCATAGATTGCAGTAGAGGAACTGCTGGGCAGACGGGGACTGTGGCGGAGGGCACGTGACCCCCCTGTGGATCTGCTTCCTGTTGGGCTGTTTGTCCTTTACTCACTGCCTTTCAAGATATCTCTGTCTTAAGGAGATTGGCTTGTGCTGCAAACATCTCACCTCGTTGTTTGACTCTGGGCAAGATATAATTTTTTGTCATGCAGATACTCTTTCTGTAGCTTCTGGATAAAGCCTGTTTGTTGTCTCCTCCAAACCAATCCACATCAGCATGGACTGCAGACGTCGCGAGGTGGAAGGTTTAGAAGGGGAAACTGTCCTGAGAACAGTTCGGGGGTGTGCCAACGGCCCCTGCCTGACCAGCTGGCCACGGGGCCCTCTGTGTTCCTCCATGGTGGTGCTGCTCGCTGAGGCTGAGTCCAGAGATGGCCAGAGCCAGCCCAGCGTCTGGGAGCCCAGTTGAGCTGGGGCTGGTGTGGGTCCCTGGAGGCCTCTTCTCTGACTCCTCTGATGGGGGTCGGGGTGTGACTCTCGCCTCCAGGTTAAGAGATGTGGTGTAAGTTGGGTCCACTTATGAATTCCAGGTTTTCTTAAAGAACGTCTGGACACCTTCTTTGAGCCCCCGCTGCCCACCCAGAAGGCAGAAGCGATCAGGAAAATAGGCTTTGGGACCAACAATAAAATCTTCCTGGAGTTTGAGGAGCCCTTCTGGGAGCCAGACTGCCAGTTCATCCAGGTGGTGTGGGAAGACACGTCGCCCCTGCAGGACGGCGCCTCCGAGCTCCAGCACGTCTGGTTCAAGAAGCTTATTGGCTTTTTAGTCCTGCCTTCCTTCGAGTACGTATGCTTCTTGAGTTTCTCTGAGGAAGCTTCAGGTGTGAGCTCTGAAGGGGCTGGCTTGTTGGCCTTAGTTTGGTTGAGAATCAGCGGTGTGTTGGTTCACTGGGAGGTGTTTCTGGAGGATTTATGGGTGGGATCCCAAGGGCAGCCAGAGCCTGATGACAGACACCAGGGGGCTAACCCCTGCAGGGACAGACAGAAGCCTGCTGTGTGCAGCTTGTTGTATCTCCGGGCCTGGGGGCCTGGAATGTGCCGGTGGCCTGGCAGGAATGTTCAATCAGTAAGAAAGTATTTCCTGAAATCCCCAGGAAGCTGGGGCATGTAGGGTTCAGGAGGAATTTGAAACATGGATGTGTCTGTGGCTGGAAGACAGTATTTAAACCTGTTGCAGTAATTGAGCAAATACCCTTACAAGTCATGGAATCAAAGACCCATCAGTGGCTAAATTGTGTGGCCCAGCCATAAAACATAAATAATGTGGCAACTCTGGACTCGGTGTTTACTCAGAAATAAGACCATGAATAATTTGGGGGGGGGGTGCTGATTTTTCCAGCAAGATCAAAAGACGTGGTTAGTATGTTGTGGTCCAGTTTCCACACAGAGACGGGGTGGGATCGGGGACCATGTTCTTGGCCTGGAGGACAAAACACAGGCATGCCTGCCGGCATAGAGCATCCCCAGTGGTCATGAGAGTAGGATGTACGGGCTCCTCCAGCCTACGAGGGACCCTGCATGTCTCCTTTGCACTGAGGATGAAGCTGACTCCAGGGCTCAGAAATGTGGCCGTGGTTGTGTGGATGGGTGGTGGAGCGGTGGCTTGGGGGGCCCGGCCAGCTTCCCTACGCCTGGCTCTCTGGCCTATGCTCTGTGCTCAGGACATTGGTGGGCATGACAGTCCTGGGGACACGTCGTGGCTCTCACACTTTGTGGTCTCAGGAACCCCCTTTATGCTCTTTAAAAGTATCGAGGATCCCAAAGAGCTTTTGTTTATGTGGTTGTATCTGTGCATTTACCACATTAGAGATTAAAACTGAGAAATTTAAAAATTGTTATTTTTGAATGGTAAGCCTATACCATGTTAACATAAATATCATTTTTAAATGAAAAGTAACTGTATTTCTTAAAAAATTTTTTTTAAACATTTTATTTATTTTTGAAAGACAGAAAGAGAGAGTGAGCCGGGGAGGGGGAGAGAGAGAGAGAGAAAGGGAGACACAGAATCTGAAGCAGGCTCTAGGCTCTGAGTTGTCAGCACAGAGCCCGGTGCAGGGCTTGAACCCACGAACTGTGAGATCATGACCCCAGGGAAAACAAGAGTCCATGCTTAACTGCCTGAGCCACCCAGGTGCCCTGTGAAATGAGCTCTGACCTCACAGAACCCTGGAGTTTGTGGCCCACACCTGCAGAACCGCCCGGCACAGGTGACTGTGGCCACAGCTGGCCGGGGGCCAGGCGTGTCAGGGGTGTGTCTCCCCGCGCAGGTCTGCCCACGTCCTTTGTGGGTTCATCGCTGGGCTGGAGTCCGAGTTCATGGAGACCCTGTCCGACGAGGAAGTGCTTCTGTCTCTGACCCAAGTGCTCCGCAGGGTGACAGGTACCGAGCACACGTGCGGCCAGGGCACCACCTGGGCCCCTTGGTGAACTCTGTAGGGCAACCAGGGCACCAGCTGTGCAGAACTGAACTTGGAGCTGTGAGCCTCTAGGACAGTCCTCCCTTCTATTAGTGGGGCCACTCGAGTGTTCATCTCTGAGGAACTGAAATGGCTTTGCGAACACTTTCCACTTCTTTTTTCTGTTTCTGGGGGTTCTGAGTTAAGCAAAGCGGGTAAGACAGAGACAGCCCTCTGATGAATACATTCGTGGCTTGGGTTTCATTCCGGGTAGTTTCCTGACTTTCCAGCTGCGGGGTCTTTTTTTTTTTTTTTTTTTTTTTTAATTTTTTTTAATGTTTATTTATTTTTGAGACAGAGAGAGACAGAGCATGAACGGGGGAGGGCCAGAGAGAGAGGGAGACACAGAATCCGAAGTAGGCTCCAGGCTCTGAGCTGTCGGCACAGAGCCCGACGCGGGGCTGGAACTCACAGACCATGAGATCATGACCTGAGCCGAAGTCGGGCGCGCAACCGACTGAGCCACCCAGGCGCCCGGTCCAGCTGCGGGGTCTTAAATGGAAGAGCGGCTGGGGCCAGGCGGCCCGCGGTGCAGGGGTAACGCGTGTCTCTGGGTTCAGGAAACGCCGAGCTCCCCGCGCCCAGGAGCGTGCTGCGCTCGCGCTGGCACAGCGCCCCGTACACCAGGGGCTCCTACAGCTACGTGGCGGTGGGCAGCTCCGGGGACGACGTGGACCTGCTGGCGCAGCCCCTGCCTGCGGACGGCGCGGAGGCGCAGGTGAGGCGGCGGGTGGGCGGAGTCCGTGGGCTTCTTGAAATTATGAACTGTTACGCATGTATTATTTTATCAGAATTCTACATGTGCATAGACTGAAGCATCAGAGAGTTCGGCAGTGCTGGCTAACAAAATAAAATAACACGAGATATAGCAGGCTGGCGGAGGGCCTGACACCCCCTTCCCAGACTATTCTGGCGGAGTCTCCTCTCCAGGTTTATCACATCTCCAAATAACGCGTCTACCTGCCCCAAAGCATGCAGTCGTGGAACACTTCGAATGTGTGCACAAGCAGGCGGAACCTTTGGGTCTCCATCTCCAACTTCCGAGCTGTCAGGTGGCGGCGGTCACTCACCTCCCCCAACCCCGTGATCATGAAGCGTGCCCCACAGGTGACATTATTTTCCTGCACATATTTCCGTGTGCGTCTCTAAAGGATGAGGGATGCCCTCTGAAGATGTGTCACTATAACATCGTTATCGCAGTTACGAATTTACACTAATTCCTCCATATTGTCCAACACTGTTCAGTTTTCCGTGTGCTTTATGATCTCTTTTTGGTTTGCTTGTTTGATAACGTTGCTCCTTGAATTTTCAGTTTTAAGCATCACTGAATTCTCACTATGGCCGATAAGGTGTTAGCTCTCTTCACTCCTGTGCCCCCTAGCTCCCCATGCGTGCAGCAGTACTTTGGGTGAGGCCCTGTCCACCCCTGGGTGCAAGGAAGCTGCGGCTCCTTTCCCTGCCTCTTTGTAGATGTGAGCGTGTTTCTCGGTGTGAGTGTGTGCAGCATGTATGTGAGTGTGGGAGAGAGTGTGCAGGCTCATTTTCTTTGCCTGGGTTCTGCTAACTGTTTACATTGTCCTCCGCTTCCTTCCCTCGGGCCAGAGTCAGCTCCAGCCCCTTCAGGCACAGCTGTGGCCTGACCCCACCCACGCCCCGTGCCCACACCCTGCCTGCCCCCAGCCCCACCCTTACTGTGTTGGAGCATTTATTCCAGTAGCTTCCTGAGGAGGGGGTGCATGGAGGTAAATGTTTAGGGAAAGTTTGCAGGTGTGGAAATGTCTTTTTTCTACCCTTATACTTAGGTGGTCCAGTCCTGTCACTACAGAACCAACCACCCTAAAAGCCACTGGTACAAAACAGACACTTTATTATGATGACAGATCCTATAGGTGGGCACAAGGGACCGTGTGTTTCTGCCATTTGATGTCTGGGGTCTCAGCTGGGAAGACGACCTATGGGGATCACGCAGGGTTGGGGCGGGGGTCATCTGAGGCCTCTTCTCTTGCATAGCTGCCCTGGGCGGGGACCCTGACTGGAGTGCCTGCCCGTGGCCTGTGTGGCCCTGGCTTCCTCACAGCATGGCAGCCTCATGCGGCTGCCCACGTGGTGCCCACGACTCTTAGCACAGGTGTGCCCGGGAGCAGGACGCTGCTGGGTGCCAGACGGTGCGGCTGGGCCACATTCCACTGCCCAGCGCGGTCACACGCCTGCCCAGATTCCCGGGGCGGGACGCAGAGCCTACCTTTCAGTGGGAGGCATCTCCAAAAACTTGTAGCCGTGTAAGAGCCACACACTGGGTGTAGACCCTAGTTCGAGAGTCACTGCCCTCAGGTGTGGAAGACATTCTCCGGTGCTGCAGTGGGGAAGTCCGGGGACATTCACGTTCCTTTCTTTCCTACCTCCTAGGAAGCTTGGAAGAACATTAGGGCCCTGCTCTCACCAAGCACCTGTCCCACCCCCCCACACGCGGTCACTGACGCCACCCTGCACCTTGCCTCGCACCTCACGGAGCTTCCACCCTGCGCCTGCTGTCAGCTGGGAGAGTCTCTTGGATTTGCTTTCTTCTCTCTGTTCTTTTTTCTTCTCTTTTTCTTGCTGAGATTTCTGTTGTTTGGATGCTGGACTGGTCCCCAAATTTTCTTCTCTTTTTCCCTCCTAATTTCCATCTCTGTGGTTTGTCACTCTGCGTTTTGGGCGATGTTCTTAACATTGCATCCCAAATGGTCTGTTGAATTTTCCATTTTGCAGTAACATTTGGTTCCAGGCGTGCTTGCTCATGTTTCCGGATGTCTTGGGGCTCCGTGGGATTAGTGAAGAATACATACAGCCACGCCCTTGCCCCCAGCTCTGTGGCCACGGTGACAGTCGTGTGGCCACAGCCTGACTCCTGTGCCCCGTGCTAACCCCGGCTTCTCTTTCCAGGTCCTGTTTGCAGGGGAAGCCACACATCGGGCGTTTTACTCCACCACGCACGGGGCTCTGCTGTCTGGTTGGAGGGAGGCTGACCGGCTCATCGCTCTGTGGGACACCCAAGCGCAGCTGCCCGAGCCCCGGCTCTGAGCCCCGCTCCTTCCATTCCGAGCTGGGCTCTGCCCCTCCTGTGCCGGGGGAGGCTGCCACCATCCTTTCTCTGACAGCGTCTGGCCTGGCCAAGATTTGGGGATATTAATGACAGCCTTCCTTTTTTTGGCGACTGGGGACAGCTCTCATTTCTCACGTGTATCATGGAGTCTGGTCAGGGCCGAGCTTGAGCTGAGTGCGAGGTCTTCCTGGAGAAGTGTGACGCAAGGCGCCAGCACTGCTGCTGAGGGCGTGCACATAAAGTGTGTTAAAGCCTCTGTGTGTCCTCATCCTTCCACCTCAGGGCTGCAGCATCTGTCGCTTCTGTCTTCGCCTGGTCCCAGGCTGGGGTCCCCGCAGGGCCCGGTGCCCCCTCCCCTGAGTTCCCTGGACTTTGGGTGCTGTGGTCGCCCCTGGTCCCAGGCATCTCCTGGTGTCCCGAGCTCTCATTGCTGGTGCTCAGGACCGTGCTGACGAGATACCTTAGCAGACACCCATGGCGTGCTGGGCTGGGTGTCGGCCAGGTGGTGGGAGCCATGAGTGCATGGGGCACCCCATCCTGACTTGGGGCCAGAGGTTTTCTGGAGGAAGTGGATGAACAACAAGGCCTCACGAACGCAAAGGAGGGGGACAGCTGGTGTGTCAGGGTGAGTGGGGAGCATGCCAGTGCAGTGGGCAGTGTTGGGGTGAGAGTGTGGGGATGCCCTGGGTGTTCTGCTCAGCTGACCTCAGCTTCCCTTCCTCCAACTGTCCCAGCGAGGGGGTCGAAGTACCTCCATTTTCACAGCTGGGGAAAGCACAAAATACCTAGAGGTCGAGTTCAGTAATTGCCCAGTCTCACGACTGCCGGCGTAGAGCTTGGGCATCGTCCCAGGACAGGCCCTGAGGGGAGGCAGGTGTGGCTGGAGGGTGGCACTTTGGAGGAGGCACTTTGGCCACCCTCAGAGGGTGCCTGTGAGGCAGGAGCCTCAGAGGCCTGGACTCTATGCTGCAGGCGGTGGGGCTGCTGGCCCTGCACCCACTTTGAAGTCAGTGGCTTGTGCCTGTCCTCGTATCTCTGGCTGCAGTCTGTATCCTGCTCTGGGGTGGGGGCACCCTGGCTCCAGGGGTGAGTGTATGTGTGTTCGGAAGAAGGGCTTTGGGGCCAGGCCTGTCTGGGCTCTTCTCCAATCCCGAGTGGTGCCCAACATGCCCTCAGCCCCAGCACACTCTGCACAGGCCCTTCTCATACCTTCCCCTCCCAGATCAGGTCGCCCCTCCAAGGGGTCTTCCTTGCCTCCACCCTAGAGCTCTGTATGTGTGTCTACTGCTGTGTGTCACTGGAGTGATTTTGCACGGGACACCTACCAGTGAGCTTTGGTTTTTTTTTTTTAATGTTTATTTTTGAGAGAGAGATAACGAGTGCACAGGCAGGGGAGAGGCAGAGAGAGGCAGACACAGAGTCTGAGGCAGGCTCCAGGCTCTGAGCCATCAGCACAGAGCCTGACGCGGGGCTTGAACTCACGATCTGTGAGACTATGACCTGAGCCGAAGTTGGACGCTTAACCAGCTGAGCTGCCCAGGTGCCCCAACAGGGTTTTACTTTAGTTTTACAGTCCTAGGTCTATGAGAGATTGCAGCTTCCCTCAGGCGCAATGATCTGTATTGTTGACATCCATCCAAGAGTTCATTGAGCCACATGCTTTTGGGAGACATTTCTTGTATCCAGAGTGACAAAGGCCGTCCTCTTGGTGGGATGGCTGCTCTGTGATGGGGGGCTGAGGGCTGGGTCCTCTTCTGGTGACTAACTCATCTGGAGGCCACCTGGGAAGGCTGGTGGATTTGTTTCTCCCATGGTGGATTTGTTTCTCAATCTCTGGAATGTTTAGTGCTGAGAATTAGGAGGTTTAAGACCATCACAGTAGTGACATTTTTGTGCGGAGAATCCAAGCATGTTTGCAATTTTAGGAACTTGTTTCAAAAATTACATTTAGAGTAATATTCTTGTACCCAGTGTACGCTGAGTAGCTGGTTGGACTCAGAGTAAAGCTAAAACCTGGGGCGCCTGGGTGGCTCAGTTGGTTGGGCCTCTGACTTCGGCTTAGGGCACGATCTCGTCCACACGTGAGTTGGAGCCGCGTGTGGGACTCAGGGCTGACAGCCTGGAACCTGGAGCCTGCTTCGGATTCTGTGTCTCCCTCTCTGTCCCTCTCCTGCTTGCAGTCTGTGTCTCTCTCGCAAGAATA